GTTGACTTATATCTATTTAGAAGATCAAGGCCAACAACACTAATAATGAATCATATCCATATCAACATACACGTAACTTGTAAGCAATCGTCTTCAATTCTTGTGTTGAATGCTTGTTCAGCCGATTCAAAGTTTTTAGACGCAAAGGTATTAGAATATTTAAATTTAATGATTTGTAAAATAATAAAATTATCACACAATTAACTTTAGCTGCTTCTTGAAACACAATATAATAATATATTCAACTATATATGTGGCCTTTACTGTTTTTTTTCTTCTTCTCTAGATCTTATCGTATTACTGTTATTTTTTCAACTCTACAAGATTTAACATCTTAAATCACCTTGAAAAAATAGTGAAAAACTATAAAAGAAGATTCATATATACAAAATTACATTTCTTATACGACAAAATATGTCAGCATGAATATATAAGATGGGACGTTAGAGAACAAGAAGTAACCATAATTAATGTGAATTATTGGTACATATTACATTAGAAAAACGTACAGCCTGTTCGTATTTGGTACACAGACGTACAGTTTGTTGCTAAATTTTGTTATATTTTGCATAAGCTAACATACCTTTTACTTCCAATATGAGGTCAGAAAATTAGTTTTATATGTATTTATATTATATATCTAGAATATAAAAAGAAAAAGCAATCTAGCACAATAAGCTGAAATTTAAAATTTTAAAGTTTTTACGTTCTTGATTCGAAAAATATAGCTTACTAGGCTCTACTAAATTAATGAGTACCAAAATTATTGAGTTTTGTCAAACCTTTTATCAGAATAAAATTCTAGCTTCCCCGCTAACGGTAGAATGAACCAAAGGAAGGGAAGATTCTTGAACGAAAATATGTCGATCAACATAAGAGGACAATTTCATATTCGCCAGTGATAAAAAAAAATCAGTTAATTAATAATATATGAATTTGTTCAATGCATCTAGGCATAATTTTGGCAGACATGATTGTTACTTATAGTTATAAAAAACAAAAACAATATAGCAAGTTGTTTCTGTACTATGCACACCAATTCTTGAAAAATCATTACACACGTAAGGTAATGGAATTTTTTTCTTTTTATTGTTGTATCAGTCACCAAACTATTCTTTTGATCGTGTCTGAGAGGGCCGCTAAAAACAAGTCACGTTGTGTACACAAAAGCGTTATTATCCAAATTTTAATTACTTCATTCATCCTAATTTATACCATAATTTTCAATTTTTGAGAGTCAAATAATTGAAAATTTAATTTGGAATTTAATTTTTTTGAAATAAAATTTATATATTTATAAATAATGTAAAATGTACTATAAGTCATAATAATTGACAAATTTATTTATTTAAAAGATTATATAAAAAATATACGATAGAAAAATAAATTTATTTAAATTTCAAAATATAAAAAGTGCCTCATTACGAAGAGAGTGTTATTTTTTATGAGTTGCCATGTTAATATTGGGTCTACAACTTCCTAGTTTTTTCTTCGGAAACATCATTCATAGTCTTATGAGGTAGAAAAATAAATATATTAGATTCCACTAAATATGTTGCTCATTATTATTATTGTTATTGCCAACAATATACAAGTATTAAAATTTAGAAAACATTATTTATCATCAAATTGATTGTCCGTATTTTAATGAATATGCATGTGTCCCCAAGTGGAAGGTGGCTAGGCAGTGACATACATTTTTTCCTAACAATATTTATTAATTTGTTATTTGTTGGAGAGAAATAATTGCCCCAATTTATATTGTCCCCTTTACCCAACAAAAAACTTTTACCTCTAAACTAAAATACACATGCAGTGATGAAATGTTCAAAGGACCAATAATAAATGTAGCAGGACTATATTGGACATATATCTGAAACAAAATTAACAAGGTCAAATTAGTGGCAATAAGGTTAAAAGACAAGTGGCCAACTGATTTCTGTATATATTTCTAAGAGAATTTTAACAACGTTATTAATTGATTATCTGAATTTAACTTTATTAGTAAGAGTTTGATTTCATTGAAATGTAAATTGGGCGAGACGTGGTTTGGGCTGGACTATTTTAACCCGGTAAGATTTTGACCACCATTTACCCTACCTTATTGTCAACCCTATGATTTCAGAAGCATATCATGCATATATATTATTTTTTGGATAAGTGAAATTTAAGAATTAATTAGTTGTTAATGGTGCAAGTTGGGAAATTAACTAAACTTTTCTTGTTTGGTAGATGATCAATTTCTCTAAATTACCACTTGTCCAATGGAATATATTTAAAACATTTTATTCACTTTCGATCCTATATAACGTGAATCTTACACAATGTAGATACAATGTTTATTTTTTATTCTTAACACAAATCTTATAGTGTAGATACAATGTTTATTTTAAAAGTTTTTTAAGAAATAAAGTGAAAGTGATTGCCATTTATTTCGTAGTGTATCTTTCACATTATATTCTTTACTCCTTTGGCCCCTTCCAAGATAAAAAGGAGGAAAAAACATCAAGTTGTTGCCCTAGTAGAAACTATAATAATACTTCGATTTCATAAAGATATATGATGGAGATATTTACCTATTAAAATATTTGGAAATTTCACTGTTCTTTTGTACTCTTCATGGACCACTTACAATAATTTATTTGTCCATATGAACTGATGAACATGATAATTCGGATTTTAGTTTTGACATGTCATAAATTTAAGGACTTAACATTTTTATATCTTTATTTAGATTTGGTTCCTATTTTCTTACCGATAAAATTAAACTCGTGTCTAATATTTAACTGATTTATATTAGGATATCATCTAACTTTGTAGTAACTTATAGATTTCACACTTCGATTTAACATTTTGTCATAAGATATATTTTCAATTCATAAAAAATGATCTCTAAACCGTGGTTTAAAAAGTTCATATGTTGTAAGAAAATAAAATCAGTTATTTACTAAACATTCGTGGTTTAAAAAGTTCATATGTTGTAAGAAAATAAAATCAGTTATTTACTAAACATTTGTGACACTAACAACAATTTCTGTAATTATCTATTTATCATGGATTGGGGAGAAATTAATGAGTAACATTATATTCAAATTTAATCCCCATTTTATCTGGGCTTGGGCGATAACGGATTTAGTCGTGCTTCCCATGTTAGTTATTCATGTGGGCCTGAGTTTACAGAATAATCGGCCTACTCCAATTGGACTGTTAGTTCACCGTTGTGGCCTTCCACATTTCTTTGCTGAAGTTAGGCCTGTTGCATAAAAATTCTACTTAATAATTTACTCGACTCTTCAAAAATGTTGTTGTATCTGTATCAGATCTCCAAAAATGCACACTACTATGAAATGATTCAACACCTATCCAGCAACATTTTAAAATAGTCTTGACAGCGTAGATCGATACGACTACTCCTTTTTGATTTGTCGGCATATAAAGTTTAGAAACAAATAGAGTAATGAATCATTTCCCATCCAACTTTGTAACACAAGGTAATTATACGGCCTATGACATATCAACGCTAACTCACCTAAACAAATTATTATGAATGGTGGGTGATATTTGTCCCAAAAGAAATATCTAATTAATTTAAAAATGTGCTATTATAGCTGGATTAATAAACAACTCGGAGTCATTTGATTGGTGAAATGGAACAAACAAGAATATCATAATCTTCTATGAAAGTATTTATAGTCTTTTATATGGGATGGTTAATTTCATCATTTGAGAGTTAAATAATCATTTTGATCTCACCAATCAAGTGGTCCCTTAGTAATGGACGAACATCAAAGAGACCACTCTAATGACTATGGTTTTGTCGCTTTTGAACATAATTTGCTTGCACGACTGAGAGTTTTGCCAAAGTAGTACATGATTATTTTTTTGTCCTAAGCATTGTCCTATTTTGCCCATGCCAATGTCTTTGTTTTCTTCTAAAAGCTCATCTTATACTATTTTTTTACTTTGCAACAGTGCAAAAGCACTCACACATCACCTAACCCAACTTTGCTTTGACCAAAATCTCTTTAATATGCTTTTACTCTCAATCTATTCCATGCACCCAAAAAAGCAGTCAAAATGAATCACCCCCATCCACTTTCTTTCCTGCCTATTCTTTTTAAGTATCTTTTAAGAAACTAAAAGCGAAATCCGAATTTTAATTCTTCGAGGCAATTGACATTGCTATTATTCAAGGCAGAGGCGTATCCATGATTTCAGCTAGATGGGTGCACGATTACAAAATAATGTATCTCTAATATAAATTTGATCAATTTGACTTTTAGTTCGTAATATGAACCATTAAGGTTTAAAAATTATAGGTTCAAAATATATAATACTACTAGTTTTAAATTTTAATATACACATTTGATTTAATTATATAAAAAATTTACAATGCTAATTTTTTAGCAATTCTCAATGTAACACACTTGAAAAATTTAAAAGAATAAAGGAAAAAAACAAAAGAAAAAGTAACTGATAACCACTTAGAAAAGTGTTATTCAAAGAGTCAAGATAGATATAAGATTTAAATTTCTATCTCTCACTTAAAGAAGTGAACCCAATCATCATCAAATTTTTATATGATACTTTGAACATGGGTTCACACATTTATATTTAAATATTTTTTTAAAAATATAACACTACTATATATGATCTAGAGAGGGGAGCATGGGTTCACGTGATCCCACGGCACCCCCTCTAGATACGCCTCTGATTCAAGGGTCATCCACAAATGTCTCGAAAAGTAGTTAAACGTAAATAATGGTGTGCACATGATGGACCTAATACTAATGTACTCGGTCTAGCTCTCTTGATCTTTTGTGCCCTCTCTCTCTGCTCAAACCCGAAACCTATATTATGAAGCAAGAAGAACATAGCCCCAATTTTATATTGCAACTCGTTAGGTTATATATTCAAATTCAACTCTCACCCTCAACATAATGCAACATCCAACATTTGTACAAAGGTTTTTTCAACGTCATCAATATATTGCTATAAAGAAACCAAACATAAGATATGATATATGCTTCATCAAAACTCTAGACAAACGCAGCCAAAACTTCATGGCTGAAAGCAAACAACCAACTCCCAACTCTTCTTCACCTTTACAATCATCCTTGTCAACATACATATTAAACATTGTAGTTGCTTATCAACAGAGATAGATCCACATATATATTGTTATACATATACTGTTATCGAGATTCGGTAGCACGAAGAACACTTAATTCCCAAGCGTTTCTTCATCAAAGAGGCTCCTGCATTGTTACAACTATTGGACTTCTCACTTCATGCTTCCCATCTGACCAAACTATTGAGCCACTTTTCACTATGGAACTCCCTGGTGATAGCTTTAGTGCCTCTGCTTGTACTCTCACCAGAAAATTAAGCTTCTGTCCAACTCTTCTAAACGTCAGCTTCTCTGGCTCCACCGTCACCACCATACCCCTCGGTGGTTTCACAATCACGTGGTACACTGAATTGGGATCTCCGACGTTTGTCACAGTCCTAATGAAATGTGTGGACAACTTGTGCTTTCCATATTGTTGGAACACTGCTGAAAGAGAAGGGTAATTCAAATTCCCCACATGGCCTGCTCTTTTTGCCTTGCTACAATCTGAATACTTCCTTGTAACTACTTGAATATTCTTGGTTGTGTAATTGGAATTGCAGAGGAAATCGACGTAGTCATAGGAAGTTAGGTCGTAAATCAAACCAGGGTCCATTGCCTTTTGAGGGTGCACATGTCCTGCTCCAAAATCCATCACAGTCGACGAATTTTGAGTTGATTCATCCATCATAATTTGTCCCCTATTATCCACTGTATAGGCAGTTGTCATCAATGCTGATCTTATAGCTGCTGGGCTCCATCCCGGATGAGCTGCTTTCAACAATGCTCCTAGTCCAGATACATGTGGGCAAGCCATGGAGGTTCCTGATAAAATGTTGAACTCTGTTCGACGCGTATCCCATGGAAGCCCACTGGGTGCAACACCATCGGGCCAAGCTGCAAGGATGTTCACTCCAGGTGCAATCACGTCGGGCTTCAGAATTTCGGGTGACTCTGGGTTCGGTCCTCGGGCTGAAAATGATGCCACTACTGGTGCTGGCCGCACATTTAGAAGAGTACCTCTGAATAAAATGGTCGCCGTTGGCGGTGACTTGGACTTTGATGCTACCGATATGTACTTCCTTATCGCATCACCGGCAGAAGCCCCAACTGCCGTCGCTGGTAACACGTGGCAATCAGCTATTAAACCTTCACCATCGAATACTCCATTGGCTATTATCATCCCCATTCCACCAGCTTTCTTCACCACTAAGCCTTTTGCAGCTCTCGAATTGACGCCTCTGTCACACAATACGATTTTTCCCTGTACATAATTTGGGTTTAATGAACCTTCTAAACACAGTGAAGACGAATACCCATCGCTACCTTCACTTCCGGCGTAAATTAAGTGGTAAAGTCGGTGGGGAGTTAACGCCGGGCCACCATATATGCTCACTCCAGGAATTATCTTACCATTTCCAAGTTTGACGTCAGCAGGAAAATCACGGTCAATTGTTCCGGCACCAACATTGGTGACCCAAGGAGCGACATTGGTTACTGTGAGGCCTCCAGGTCCACCGTTTCCGGCGGAAGCAGAGACGAAGATTCCGGCATCGGTTGCAGCAAAGGCGGCAATGGCGATTGCGTCGAGGTTATAGGGAACAACAACTCCGCCAACGCTAAGGGATATGACATGGACACCATCAGCAACGGCGGCGTCAAATGCAGCCAGGATGTCAGCGTCGTAGCAGCCTGAAGACCAGCAAACTTTGTAAGCAGCTAGACGAGCCTTTGGAGCCATCCCAGCAGCAACACCACGAGCGTAACCAAGAGTAGACGCCGGAAATACGTACCTCCCTGCCGCAATTGAAGCTGTATGAGTTCCATGACCATCCGAGTCTCTGGGAGATCGAAACTCCTTAGTTTCATTCATTTTCCCATTTGTCGCCTCATACCCACTGGAAAAATATCTCGCTCCAATCAATTTCCGATTGCATGAAGTCACCGGAAAGTCTCTGCCAGCCACACACTCCCCTTTCCATTTTGCCGGAACTGGACCAAGATCACGATCATGGAAGCTCTTCCTCTCAGGCCAGATCCCAGTATCAATTACTCCAATAACAAGGTCGGACCCATAATCTGATTCCTTGAGCAACCCAGCACTGTCTGCACTACTCAATCCAAGAAATTCAGGGGATCTCGTTGTTTGAACATGCCTAACTTGTTCAGGAATAACAGCCAAAACCCCATTAAAATCCTCAAGCTTCTGAGCATCGAAAGTCGACAATTTAACAGAAAACCCATGAAATACATTACTATAAGTGTGAATAATGCGATTAGCAGCAGCTTCACCAATTTCTAACGATTGGGTATCCGCAGAAAGAGATCTTAGAGCGGACTCGTACCAGTTCTCATGGGTCGGAAATATGGAAGGTTTAGCATCATGTTGGACGTGAACTATGAAAGTTCTAATTGGGTCATTTGCAGTTGATGAAACTGAGCCAGTGAATACTAAAAACGAAAGACAAAAGAAAAGAAATGAAGAAAACGCCATGAAAGAGGTGTCAATTGAGCAGAAAATAGGCGGCAATGGAGTGAAGTTTCATAAGAAGAAGAAGAGTGAAAGTGCAAGTGGTTATAGTGAAAGAAAGGGTAGTGTGGTAGTTTTAGTACACACACGACTGAGCTGGAGAAAATGAGTGGATGGATATATTGGACCCAACTTAACTCATCATTTTAAAATACTCATATCTTATACTTCTTCGTATTCAAATTATTAGAATTTGTATTAACATTTTAAAATATATTTTGATTATAATCATAATTAACTATACAATCGAAGCTTTTTTTTTTTTAAGGGTTTCTATTCAATGATTTATACCTATATCAACTGATTTAGATTCATGTTGTATAAGGTAATTTATGGTTAAGAGAGAAACAATTTTATTCATTATATCTTATTCTTTGATTGTAAATGAACTAATGAAGTTAAAAACTTTATTACAAATCTTCTAACTATTATTATTTATATTTAATTTACTTTTTCACTTCTATTTTATTTGGTAGGAGGAGATGAGGACAATATAATACACAATAATTTACATTAAAAAGTTAGTGATTTTAACTTATTTGGGATTCTATATAGTAGTATTTTTAATATGAATTCTTGAGATTTGCAACAGCGGGGGCCTGGTGTTTTGCTTGGACTTTAACAGCCTCTCATTTCTCTTGTGTTGATAGGGAATTTTTTGTTGGTGTTGAATTATGTGGAACCCATAATACCTTTGCATTTTTCTTTATTTCAAAGAGACAACAAGTGTCCCCGACCTTTACAAAGAATAAGAGAAGTCAGTATTAACTTTGAAATTTATTGACGTGTATCTTTTTTTATGACACAAGCTGTAAGTTACTTTCTTTTCTTTTCAAAAACTTACTTTGATATTACACACTTAGTTTTAAATTAAGTGACCTATTTTAACTTGACAAAAAAATTAAGATAGTAAATAAATCTTTTAAATGGAATGATTAAATATATCAATCTTTATGGTAAAAAAATGCTAAAAAGAAAAAGATAATTTTTTAAAAACAAACTAAAAAGAAAATTAGATCAAATAAATTGAAACGAAAAAAGTTTAATTTACTTGGACAAAGAATAATAAAAATACTTTAAGTGGAAATTAATTCTTATTTCTTTAGGTAAATAATTTAATTTTCACTCATTAGGTAAATAATTTAATTTATGTAATATTAGATCAATTCTCAATTAGGGAATGACATTTTATTTTTATATTAACTCAAAGTCAGAGAAAGCACGTGAGGTGTATACTGTGACAATGAGACATGGTCGGCCAGGTCTCATTTCCATTTAAATAAGAAGAAAAAAGAAATATATATATATAGATAGATACCAACAGAGATCTTGTACCACTGTCTTTTTCCCTATATAGTTGGACACATCAATTGAAAAACAGTTTAATACCATTAATCATAGGGACTACTTAACCAAATTACCCATAATCTTTTCTTTGAAAGAGTAATTAGTAGTAATTATGTACCTTCTTGGAGTAGTAAAGATGATATTAGAAAAAGAAATCTTCTAAATTAATAGAGGTTTTTTTTTTATTAAAAATGAAGTAGTAATAATTAAAGGACTTCAAGAGAAGAATATTGTTAGGATTGAAATGTTGAATCAAGTGGAAAATGTTGAATTTTATTTTTTTTGGTTTCACCAGAGAGTAAAAAGGACAGTCTGGTGCATTAAGCTTATACTGTATATAGGGCATGTGAAAAGTTGAATCACAAGAGACTTTTTAATAATACAGAGATAACTTTATCAATTAAATGAAATTGTTTCTTTAAACTGAAAAGAAATAAAGAGTCAAGTAAGGGCCCTCATAGAGTTTTGAATGCAATTATTTAAGAACAAACATCATCATCAACATCACTATGTGGATTATTGACATATAGAATGGTTTCAAACATCAACTTTATTTTGTTTTAATAGGATCTAACTTTACGATTTTGAATGTTCTTATCTTTTAGCCTTTCACAATGAGTATTGATCAACTCTTCATTCAAAATTAAAGCGCTCAATAAAGTAGAGGTTCAATTTTTGAGTTTTGTGGAGAAGCTTCTTTCATCTTTATGCATCTTTTGCTCAAATATAGTGGCTATATGGTGGCTGACATTGATAAGAAAATGATATCATACGTATAATTTAACCAAAAAAACTAGCTTGAAAGTTAAAAAATTTCAAAATCATATGCATAATGAAATAAATTGTCATGTCACCTACTGATGTAGACGGTAACGTCTCAGTATGTATAGGTCTGACAATTAAAATGTGTATAAAATAATATAGGAACCTAACATCGAGTGAGAAAAGAATTGAATGTAGTGTACTCTGATCATGACCAGAAAAAAATAGACAACAATATTGTCTTTGCATAATCCTCACCAAAGTGAAACTCAACACATTTGATGATGCAATAAAATTTCCCCATAAATAATCCCTATACCTTCTAGCTTATGGGGCAATACTGACCAACAGAGGAAAGTGACTTTGGTCTCTTGGGAAAAAATCTAATTGCTAAAGAATTTGGTGATTTAAAAGTTTAATGTGGTAGAGAGTGAAATGTTGCAATTGTGTAGAAATTAGTGTGTGACAATTGGTTGAGAAAAAATGTGTGTTTTGGATGAAATTGATAAATTGAGTTTATATGAAGGAAAACACATATAGTTGGAACCATTAGACTCCAAAATAATTGTAGTTGGTATTGAAGAAAATTGAATTCTACAAAGATAAAGATGACTAAATAGTATACCAATTGAAGAGTTAAGTTACTCTTTGACTTCAAATGACACATAATTAGTCACCAGAAACTTCAAATGAGAATTTCACGACTTGCAAGCAGACATACACTAAAAATTATCCTGATCATATATGTTCCACCCAAGCAGAGGTGGCATATTCTAGTTAATCAAATATAGTCATGAGAGTTCCAATTTGATTGGTCGAGAAGAGTTTGTCATCTCTTCCATCTTGACACAATTGACATGCTTGAGCCAATCAATATTTTCATGTCGACTTTAGTATGGTTAAAATAGTTGTCTTTTTCACAATTCTTCCAACCTACAACTATAATAAGGATTTTCATAAATAAACAAGGCAAAAAATTCTCGTGGATTAAATGTTATAAGTTCTCTATGAAGATCAAGAAGGAAGGCAAACTAAATATCTAGGCATTCAAAACAAATCTAATGAATGCAAATCAAATACCAGGGTGTTAAAAGATCAAATTCATTTATTTTTGTCCATCAAAGTATTTTTGATGAATAAGGTTCAAATCCAACATAAATTCAAAATCAAACACAAATATCCTTAAATTTATATTCGAAGAGAAGGATAAGAGATCTACTAGAGACTCTAACACCAATTATTCTTAAATACAATACCATAAATATTTCTCATTCTTATTATTTACTTGATATGAACTTTACTGTCTACCGCTCATTCCTTTTTCGCCAAGTATGAAGACTATTATGTTCTCATACTCTTTTTAAGCAACTCCATTGAGTTGAGAAATGAACGTTCCCAATAGAAAAAGGAAATGTAAAACAAAACCACAACTTCCATATGCCTTGTTAGAAAAATAGATGAAAAATATATCGAGAAAAAAAGAAAAATAATGAAGTGAACAGAAAAGGAGTTATGCTACAAATTTATAAGCAAAGGAAACTTAATAATGATCACTTGAATAATCATTTTAATTTAAGAGAAAAATACGAACTTCTAAGAAGTAAATAAACCTTAAAAGGAATAATAATAATTTGAACTTGCAGTATATGTGAAGCCTTGAAATCGATCATCGAAAGCACAAGATGCATGCATGAAAGAAAACTTAAGCGACCATAATGGAGTTTTAGTTAAGTTGAAGGACAAATATGTTGAGATTTGTGGTCCATTCCACAGCGATAGCAAAAATCATGTCCACACCTGCCATAGATTCAAAATTTTCTCAACTGTATATTCAATAAATACTATGTATATTGTTAGTTCAATGTGTATATTGTTTCTTGCCTTATTTCCCAAAACCATTTGCACAACTCAATTGGAGTATCAATTCTTTGTTACTATCTTCATTATATTGTTACACAAAAAGAGCAATTTGACATTCCAACTATAGTTATTACTTTACTTTCAAGTTATCATGTGGAGACATGTTATGAGCCAATTACTCCCTACCTCTATGTAAAATGATAAATATACACTTTTTAACATACATTAAGAGAAAAACATATACATTTTTCATTGTTTACCGCACCAATTATCCAGTCAGTTTGGTCTCTATGTAATAAGAATTTGAGAAAAAGATGAGAAGATTCAAGCTATTTTCCATATGTTTTCACTGTTTGTTGGTCTGAATTGTAGGCCTTGTAGTGTTGAGAAGAAGTTAGGCCTATTGGCCAATGTACTCCATTACATATCTATAAATATTAACGGTTAATAAATATAAAAGCTTCAAATCTTCGATCCTAATTTTATTTTATTATTGCAACAACTTAAAACTTATTTTATTATTGCGACAACTTAAAACAAATTATTACAAACGACTCTTGAATGAGAGAGAGATTAACGATTGAGAAAAATACCTGCAAGTTAGTTGCACGCAGCCATCACCCTTTTCAACATAACACTTGCACTTTGGACATTTCCTCCATTTCTTGTTCTTAGCAATTCCCATCAGCATCACATCTCCCTTCCCTCTATCGTTTGATCTGCCCAAACGCTGAAATTCCTTGCACTCTAATCCCTCGTGCCACGAGACATTACACTGAGCACAGTACAATCGACGACAATTAGGACACTCAGAGTCAATCACATTCTCACTCCCATCATAAACCAACATAGCTGAACAGTCCTTATAAGGACAGTACAATTTCATCGAACCCGAAAACAGAGCATTATTTTCCAATTGATCCAACACTTGCTTAGGAACAATTTCTCTCCAGAACTTCGGTTTAATTATGGCCTTACAAGCAATATCTGGACACTTGATAACGCTAACATTTTCTTGTACTATTTTTCTAGTAACATATTTGGTGACGCAATTAACACAGAAAGAATGTGAACAATTTCCAGTCGCAAACATTTCGTTTGCGAGTTTGTTATTTGTACAGATACTGCAGAATGTACCGGAAGATTCTCCGGGTTCTTTCTTGACTCTTTTAAACTTATTGTATACTGAAATTGTGGCTGCGGAATATAAGGCCTCTTGCAATTGCAATTCCTCAGCATACATTTCATCTGAAATTGGGAACAATTGTTCTTCGTGATCAAATAATGCTGAGAAATAGAATTCGTCCACACGGTCTAATTCCGCCATCTGCTGAATCCGATTTTCTTTTAAGTGATTACTGGTGTTTGTTCTCCAGCCAGCATATTATAGAGAGATTATTATATTGGGAATCTGAAAAGGTATACAATTCCCAATGCTGGTTTTTTGATAACCTAAAAGGACTTCAACTTTACAAATGCAACTTAATTCATTCAATGACTGTTAGATCCTATCCATAAATCTGACTTCAATGAGGATTCACATTTGTATATCGAAACAACTTCCATTAGTACTGACTAGACTAGATACATTTTATGGAGTTTTTTCATATAAGATGGTGGCGGCAAACTCAACAGCTATATGGACCTAGTTGTTGCCGATGGCTATGGCTAACCATAAAAAAATTCTATGTATGTATAGATAGATCCATATCGCACGCTAGATCATAAGTTAACATCTACTGTCAAGTGAGGTACTTATTTGCACTCGTATTTATACCGAATTAAACAATTTAGTTAACCATTAAGTTTAAGAATTCAAGTGAAAATGTTTATGTTAAGTAATAAATGTGTGTATTAACCTTATACTCATCACCGTAGAAACCCAGATCACTCCCTGCATTTTCAGTAATTAGCAATGCCATAGTGTGTGTCTCAAAAATGAAAACAATAAAAACTTAAAGAGGCAAAAAATAAAAGAAGGCGTTTTTAATGGAAAACTAGATAGCACAACAATTTAGATGCTGTTTATTTTTGGTAGGATGATAATTTAGACTTGATAATTTTTATAAAGCAAACTATTGCGCTGTACCTAGCTGAGTATACATGAAATCCATACACGAATGAGTCGCAGAAAGTAGCTATTACTTCAATGTCATCAAAGAGATGATCTTTAGACTCTGCATTCTACCGACACGCCAAATTCAGACTTTCAAATGACATCAACATAAATATTTGGGAAAAAGCACAACTACCTCTACGTACATCCTAGATTACCTTCAGCATATGCAATATTTAACATTCATGATCTCTTCCATTAGTAAAAGATGACTTTTGGTTTATATTCCTTCTCTACCCACGAGTGTTATATTCTGCCCTCAGCATACGTATTCACATAGTAGTCCTCAAAGCTTTTCTCTTATGCAGAAGAAAGTAAACAGTAAGCTCGACTTAGACTTCATCTAATTCATTACTTGTTATGTCCTGATAAAAAAAAGACTGGTTGAAGGTAATATCCTTCAAAATATTTGGTAGATTCTTCAGAGGGAGCAAAAAAATTTCTTAAAAATTGTAAATGAATAATAACACAAAGCGTAAGGTGAAAAATCTATGATATTTAATAGTTCCCACAAGAGAGCACTAGGAATTTGCACCTTCTAGTTTTCTAAGAATTCATTTCCTTCTCTCCAACAGGGTCTACTACAAGAAGTGATGGGCTATAGTATTTGAAAAATTAGGAACAATATAATTTCTTTGGAATATACAATTAAGACAATTAATTAATGGTAAACCAAAACTATAATCTGCACTTAAATTAAAGAACAAAGTACCCCTTTCTCATCTAGTTGCAACTCCATTGATCAGGGCCAGGGGTTCTTCTCCAACAAAAGACACTCTTTTTCAATCCTTTGGCAAAAGGCACTTTCCGATGTCATGTTCTTATAATTTTTGTCATATTTGAAGAAGTGGTGATCAGACGGATAGTAGTCAAGTATGTCAAACTGCTTGATCTGCTTAAACCTCTGCTCAATATAGTCTATAATCTCTTCTATTTCCCCACAAGTACTGTTTGCCTCATCCATTTATTGGTGTTGCTTATTATGAAGCAAGAAAGCAACTGTTTTCTGGTATATTATGCTCACTGGAAAAAATAAAAATATCCTATTTAATTTGTTTAGTTGCAAATCCCAACAGATAACTGTATTGGAAGGAATTATTCTTACAGTAAAATTCCAACAATAGCATCCATATTCCCATCCCAACTAAATCAGAAATATTTAAGTACTGAACTTCCTTAGTGTGTAAACTTTCCTTTGTGTTGTGCGGGCTGTTAGACTGGAACAACTACAGATTCTATTGTCATAAAAAAATGAACAGCTTTCACAGAGGAAGTTTACAGATGAGCAAGTTGATTGCCCATTCACTACATACACATATTTAGGCCTTGAACTAAGCACTATAGAGAAACATGATAGTACTGCTTAGTTTTCACCATGCTATAACGTAAGAACAAATATTGGGTATCATAAACTCCTCATCTACATAGAGGAAGTGCAACTCTGTAACTCAGAATAATCATTCACGTTTACAATTCAGCTTTTGAAAAGATTATTTGACGCAAAATACAAACTCTTGAATCATCTATACATATAATATGCTCGAAGTACACATGAACTGATGCATATATAAACAAAATGGAAGCAATTCGATGGTAGAAAGTAGGTGTTTTTTGTTGAAAGAATCAACTTCACCAACAACCTCAATATATTTAAGGAAAATATATTAAAAGCTCAAATAAAGAAGCAGGAAAAATACCTTATGTAAACTACTGGTTCAAGTTGGTAATATCACCCATATAGCTATATCTTCCAAAGATCCCAAATATAAGCTTTCTTTTGAATCACTTGCAATCAAAATTATAGACCGACATGTAGTAAGGGAAGAGCTTTTCTTTTGGCTATCCAGACCTGCACATGATCAATATAGCTTAAATATATGTTTATAGCAAACTAAATCAATTGATTGACTACATGGCCAAGACCAATTAATACTTCTTTTATGTTGCGTTAAGCAGCAAACCATGGTAAACAATTAGAAGTAAAATGATGAATTTGGAACTATATGGTTCTTATGTTATAAAAAGGTTACTCCACAAGGAAGAATATTTTTAAAACCTAAAATCCAAAATAATAGTGTTTTTCCTCCAAGTCAAACCATCCGATTAGAATTCAATTCAATATTTAAACGTATAATCCATGAGTAGAGTGAGACGGGAAAAAGTAGTAACCAAAATAGCCCGGAGAGCTCACGCTCGACCCATTTGTAGAAGAAGAAATAGCTGAATCCAATATCTGAGATAGTCGTACCAAATCGACAAATGAAAGTAGACAAGTTCAAAATACTTAAAAAGGGAAAAATCATCAAAAGTAGAAAGTTAGCAATTCACAAAAATCACAGTGTCAACTCCATAAACAACATATGTTTCTAATCGAGAAGTTTTCATTATTTGAGATACAATAAAAGATGTATTGTCACAATTAGTATTAAGAGAACTAAAAGAAGAGGTGAAGAAAACTCGGGCAATTTGAATAGAAATATATGAATTTTCGAAATCTCTTATAACTAACAACTATACCAGGATGGATTCTACCGAATCTTGATAGATAAACTAATTGGAATCAACGTCAACCAGTGTGATTGTCAAAAACTTATACTGACATAGAATTAGATATGAGTAATACATAACTTCAATACAGAGTAAACAAATAAACAAAACAATCAATGAGAGGAGATAAAATCAGAAAAGTTAACCCAATTACTCCAGACAAGTAAGTTCATCATAATAAAAAAACTTAATTACATCAGCTAGAAAGTCAGTGGTAATCCTCAAGATTAACCAACGGTAGCCTCAGAGAAGCAAACGGCAGGTACCATTGATTGGCTGAGAGATCTGATGCCTCACTCCACTTTCACAGCGGCGGATGAGGACCGACGGTCGGTGGCATCGCCGCACCTGTAGGTGCATGACGTACTGGTGGAATGAATACCTTTGGCACCGAGATTAAGAAAATAAAGAAATTTTTGAATCTTACATCCTAAATTAAAATTATGTCAAATATATAAAATTATCTTTTAATCGTGTGACCTTAAACATGCTACATGTAAAGCTGAAATTAAAATATTATAAAAAAAGAAAAAATTCTTTTTTTTTAAAAAAAATAGATTCAAAAAAAAATTAATTCTTTTTTAAACGGAGAAAGTAATTATTATTTTTGTTAGTAGAAGAGAAGGGTTTAGAAAGAGGAAATATGAGATAGGTAGCGGAAATGAAGAAGATGAAAATATAAAAGTGAAGCGATTAAATGTACGTGTCAGATCACTTTGAGGGTAGAGCCACATTGCATATTGTCAAGTGTCTAAACTGCCCTCAAATACAATTTTAAGGACAAAAAACTGCCTCACTTTCTACTCACATTTTTAATATAGTAGAAAAATATCCATATTTCTGTAATATTTAAACCTACTTCCCACGTTCGATAAAAATAGAACAGTTAGGAGAATTCCTCAACTTTTCCAGTGGGTCATAATATAATAAATTACAAGCTGCAGAAATATTTCTGGGTCCCCTTTTTGTAATATTGTCTGAACGTGAAAATTGTGTGCTTGTAAGTGTAAACTCATAAATAGTTAAAATAATAAAATTCTATAACTACTCAAACGTGGTGATGAATATATTGACTTAATTCATATTCTATCATTTTTTATGATCTCACAGAGCAAAAGCACTACCCACTGCTCATGTGATGGAATAACAATAAGCATGCCTCACGTTACTAATTATTGCATCATATACTATATATATCAAAAGTTTTTTCAACACCGGCCACATTAGAACTAAGAAATATTATTAGGTCTTTGTTGGGGTGTCAAATGGAGATCTTTAATTGAATTTAACCAAATTAAAATAGGTCAAATTAATAAATGAAAAATCATTAACCCCCCTAATTAATATTTACTTTGTTTGAAATGGACAGCTTCAAAATGGACTAAAAAATATATCATAAGGTAATCTGTTCAATTCTTCCCAATTTTTTTTACTAATTACTGAATAATTATCTTTAAAATATATACTATTCTATCTCTTTATATAACATATAATATATTTAATTTGAATTAATTTGGGCCACATATTAAATCAATTATAAATATAGGCCAAATTGGGTAGATTAACATAAATGAATACATTATATTTGATTCACATACTGCTTCAATGTTTGACTCATGTATTACTTCTTTATTGATTTCTATATGCATGATCATACTCTTAAAATTTCAAAGTATCTATTGACTAAGAAAACTTGATATAAATTAACCACATATTTCCAACTACCAATTTAGATATTTTGGTAAAGATCATTTGATATATTCATGTCACTTAATTAGAGACGAAACATACCGCCTATTCGGATCCATCATATTCATTGTATTAATGGATATTAGTTTGATTTATCTCAAAGAAAGATGATTGGTTTCTTTCCAGGTCCGTTCGTTATTTAATATTATTTATGTATTGATCCGTATATAAAATGACATATTTTTATATACTAAACGATTTTAGTATATAAAATGGACTTTCATTTGGCGGAAACTAATCACTAGATTAAAAGTCTTTTATCTCATATCGCCCTTTCAACATATATCACGAAATCACAAGTAATAATTTATAAAATTTGAAGATTAATTTGTTGTTCTTTTTAAACCTTTACGACCAATCAACTACACCAAACAAATTAACACGAAGAAAGTAAAATACAATAACATAAAGTTCGAAATAGAAATTGGATAATGATATATAGAAGTATGGGTTAAAATCATCCTGGTCATCAATTGCTGTCACGTAGGAGATTTTAATGGACTTATGCACCCACATCAACATCTTCGACAGCTCATATTGTCACTTTTAATTATAACTTTTCTCGAATATATGCTTGTCAACTCATTTTCGAAAACAAAATCACTAAATAGCTAGTACCGTAAAATAACAAAAATCCTTTCGTTTTTAATCAAAGATTTCTTATCCAAAACATATATGGAATAGTCAGATCAATAATACTTGCACTATATTCTTTCAATAATTTTATTGTAACCAATAAAAGAATTTGAGAATAAAGCAAAACGAATTCGAATTATGATAATGTAAATATAGGTCGAGTATTTTTCTTAGAATATGCTAGGGGATTTCGCCGTTGATTATATTCCTCCAGTAGAGCCGAAGCCTCACTACACCGCCGGCGGTTATCGTCTCCACATCGGCGAAAAGATCGTAACATATTTTTAGTACAAGTCTCAAGTTCTTTTATTTCATCCAAATAAATCTGCCTGTTTCTACACTCCACACTGCAGAATCCAAGATCACCCCTGCATTAATTAATATAAACATTATTAATTAACGTTTCGTGATAAAGAAATGAACCATGCTAAATTCAATCTTAAAAACTAAGTCAGGATTTTGACTAAGCACATTGTTTAATCCCATACGGTATGGGTCACTAACACCCCCACACGTCCAAAATTTGCCAGTTAGAGTGTAAACAATATAAGGTGAAGGCCCAACATTAGGTAAACATAATTGGGATGGGGCCTAACTTTTGATACACTAATAAAATTTGATATACGAACAAAATAAAGAAAATCGATGAAATTAAGTTTGTTGATTGGTTTTGTGTATCAATTTGTATAGTTTGTCTCATTTTGACTTGATACATGGTTCAAAAAGGGCATTTTTTTTATAAAAAAAAAGAATATCATGTGCAAAGTTAGAAGTAAAGAAATAACGAATTTAGGTGCCCCACCCAAACTTTTAAAAATGAGTGATTTTAAGTCCAAAGCCCTTTTTTTTTAATACCGAGTCTGAGTAGCTGACAAGTAAGTTAGTAAACTGTGAATCAATAGGCTTTACTTCCTCCTTTTACTTTCAAGAGAAATTTATGGCGAATATATCGTATAATAAGAAAAGTAAAAAAACACATTTAAAAAAAAATGAAAGTATAACAAATAAATTGAAACGGATAAAGTATAATATACATACTTGTACATATAAACTTCTTTGTCGAGTCTCAAAGTCTTGTTGCAAAGGAAACAATATTTGAGGAAGCAACAATTATGTTCAATACTGATAGATTGAGTAGGATTTGTGTGGAAGATGGGTTTGACTTTGGTGAATCTTGAACTATACATAATTAAAACATTATTAGGAGCAATTGCCTTGCTTTCACAAATCTTCTTCTGATTAATTAGAATCTTTAGCCCAACAGCAACTGATTTTTGACCCATTTTAATTTTTTAGGATAAGCACAAAAACAATAAGGCAGAAATTGGGGAAATGAGCTAGTAAGCACTGAAAGGTGTTTGATATGAAGGTAGATAAAGTGGAGGGTATATATCGACTAAAAAGTAGGGACAAACAAGTCAATTTATAAATATTTTTATTTTATTTTAATAATAAGATAGATAAACGTGCTATAATGGAAATGGTCCATGTTATCGTGTTTGTCTATATCACCTGGATCCCACGTAAGTAATAAAGGAGATAAAAGTAATAAATAATAATAATATATGTTGAAAGATTCGAAATTTATTTAATAAATAAAAAATTATTGTATTTCACTAACATAATTTAAATAAATAAATATTAAATAATAAATCTTAAACAACTTAGAATTTCTAAATTAAAAAATGGGTGAAAATTAAAAAGAGACATACTATATTATATCTAATGTATATAATTAATAATAAAATAAGTTAAAGAAATGTTTTGACCTTGTCCCTTGTAAACAGTGGGTAAACGTGGAAATTGTGGTTGTAACTGCAAAATAATATATCATCGAATAACCAAGCGTGGTTAATTTGTCGTCATTTGTTTGGTACATATTTAATTTTTCTCAATTCTTTTTTTGTTTGTCGTTAAATGTTGGAA